CTCGTCGCAAAACATAGAAAAGGCTGTGATCTGCACAGACTCAGCTTCATCGGTAAAGGCAATAGCTCACAGAAAAATGGAAAAAAACGAAATCGTTTATAAAATAAAAAAGATGATTATTGGCTTTACCGATGAAAACAAACACGTCATTCTCCTGTGGATTCCGTCCCACGTTGGAATACAGGGGAATGAAAAAGCGGACAAGCTAGCCAAAGAAGGTCTTCATCTCCCATCTCGAAATCATCTCGCTCTCCCCCTTCCGGATTTTCTGTCTTCGCTCTTCCGTGCCTTCCAGAGATATCGCCAAAAATGCTGGATAGCTGATCATACACCACATCTCTTCTCCATTAAACCGAAACTTTGCCATTTCTTCTCTTCCCATCAAAACACAAGGATCAAAGAGAGAGTCCTAGCCAGGCTCCGGCTCGGCCACACCCAACTCACCCACAACTACATCCTGGACAGAGCACCTCCACCCATATGCCACCACTGCCGCGACCACCCACGCTACACCATCTCACACTTCCTCCTCCACTGCCCACACCTACACCAACACCGCAGACATATAGTACAATACATTAGCACACATGGACTCTCTCTCGACCTTCCGACTCTCCTGGGCGACACTCATCCGGATATCCACGACCTTCTGTTCGTCTTTCTCGCCGACGCTCGGATCATCAAGAGCCTTTAGCGTGTTAGGGCCGCGGCTGCCGCCCCTAACACGCTAATCAGAGCCCTCGTCTCCCGGCTCACCCCCAAACTCACACATTAATTAATCGCGGTTACAGGGCTTTTTCCCTCGCGCCGTTTTGGCTTAGGTGCGAGGTTTTTGCCCTTTGCGTTAGGCGTCGGGTTTTTTTTATTATTTAGGACTTTTTCGCCCGACTATTACACCCCACAACAAAGCCCCGCCGGGGGGCTGGAGCCTAGAAGGTCTTATACCTTCTGTCAGTGCGATGAAAGCTTCCCGGCTCCATTACACTGACACCAGCTCACAAGTGTTCATGTCTATTATGTATTGTTAATAAAAGTCATTCCCACTGTTGTGTTTGCGACTCCAGACATCTCGGCTCTTTGGCTATACACGTAAGTACCTCCCTTAGCTTTGATTCCACATTAAGATAGGATCCCACGTTGTTTTTGCTACCGGGTTCACATAAACCGGTTTAACGTAAGACTTGCTGCCCGGCGAAAATTGCCGGAGTAACTGCCCCCTGCTCGGGTATGGCACTAGGCCGACCGAGCAAAAAAAAAAAAAGGAAATTGTATTTTAGTAACATGCAAAGTAACACAAACATGTTCAATGTTCATGGAAAGGATTGAAATGAAACTTGGAAAATTGAAGCTTGAACTTTGTCAAGAAGAAGGTCGCAAACTGCAAAGAATATCAACAAGGCCTTATTTATCATTTTTAAAAGATTATAGAATGCTCCCTAATAAGCAAAAGCAAGATATTGATGTTTGATTATTGATGCTGCCCACAATGTCTTGGGCACATGGATGATGGAAGTGAGCTCAGCTTCAATAATCAGACCTAAGAATCACAATGGATATAGCCATGAGCCAGACTGCAAAGTATGGCAATTTTGTCCAGATGTTGTCAGTGCAGACTCCTTCGTCTGGTGCGGATTTAAAGGAAATAGTTCACTTTTTAACATGGGTTTTGAACTGGAATAGCAGTTCCGTAGCCTGGGCTGAGACGAGCATAAATCAGGAGCTTTTACAGCCCAACGATCACCCTAGGCAAAGATATTCTATTTCTCGTCCCGAAAAAGGTGTCTTGCGTTGAGGATGTGTGCCTTGCATATATTCGCATCCAGTATGAAAAGAGCATGGGTACCGAAAATTCTTCAGAAACTAGAGAAATTATCTACGAGTACTCTAGAGAAATTCTCGTACTGATCAATACCTAAGGACATTCAGCAGCAGCAGATCGCCCAAATGCCGGTGGCCGCGATCATTTCTCTAGTTTCTGAAGAATTTTCGGGACCCATGCTCTTTTCATACTGGATCGCCTGTGCCTTACAGAAACTGAAAAGTTCTTCTTATTATCAAAATATAGAAAATAATCTTTTGTTATAAATAGGTTTTATTTTCTTTGCTGATCATTTTGAACATAAAAAATCATAAATCCATTGCAAAAAAATAATTTCGTGAAAGTGAACTATTTCCTTTAAAGGGACCCTCCCACCTTCAAAAAAGTTAATGAATTGGCATGAAAGTGATGTCGCTCGGTTCAGAAAGAGCAAAAACGAATATCTACCAAATTTCATCGAAAAATATTCACCGGTTTTCAAGATATTAGACTTTTACTTTTGTTTACTTTTTGGGATCTCCGCTGTTCCTAGCGACTTTATTTGAAAGTGCGGCATTTGTTGCGCGCAAAGCAGCATATACCACCGCGTGCTACAAAACGTTTTAGTCAAACATTTAACGGACGTTCGAAAGCCTGATGACGTCATCAGATTCCCGTAATGGTTAAGAGATAGGGACCACGCTGGTCCCACCCTGCAAGTAAAGGGAAGAAATTTCTTGAACACCATAAAGCTGCGGGGGTTGCGACCAGGATAAATGGTGGTTTCTGAGCCTGGCCGCAAACTTGGCTATCTCAACTCAAAACTAATGTTAAGGTGGGAGGGTCCCTTTAAAGGAAATAGTTCACTTTCACGAAATTATTTTTTTTGCAATGGATTTATGATTTTTTATGTTCAAAATGATCAGCAAAGAAAATAAAACCTATTTATAACAAAAGATTATTTTCTATATTTTGATAATAAGAAGAACTTTTCAGTTTCTGTAAGGCACAGGCGATCCAGTATGAAAAGAGCATGGGTCCCGAAAATTCTTCAGAAACTAGAGAAATGATCGCGGCCACCGGCATTTGGGCGATCTGCTGCTGCTGAATGTCCTTAGGTATTGATCAGTACGAGAATTTCTCTAGAGTACTCGTAGATAATTTCTCTAGTTTCTGAAGAATTTTCGGTACCCATGCTCTTTTCATACTGGATGCGAATATATGCAAGGCACACATCCTCAACGCAAGACACCTTTTTCGGGACGAGAAATAGAATATCTTTGCCTAGGGTGATCGTTGGGCTGTAAAAGCTCCTGATTTATGCTCGTCTCAGCCCAGGCTACGGAACTGCTATTCCAGTTCAAAACCCATGTTAAAAAGTGAACTATTTCCTTTAAGTGTGGTGCGGTGTGGTGCAGATTTAGTGTAGCGGGGTGCGAAGTGTTCTCTCAGCCCCCTTTGGTGTGAATTTTCTGGCTCAGTTTGCAGGGTTTGTGTAAATTTTGAACTTAGGCCAGTGCTCCTTGGCGACCTGCGAGCCATACTCTGCAGTACTGGCCTGGGCCCATGAGCAAAGTAATATAATATAGTCTGTTCAAGATTCAATATAATAAGTCTGCAAAACACATTCCAGCAATTGTAATTGAAGCAGAATGAATTGTAGTGACCACAGTGTGTAGTGACCTGCATTTGTATTTTTGTTGTGTCTGTGAAAAATAATAAATATACCTACTTATTGGAAAAGTCGTGGCCTTTCAGCACATTTGGCAGAGTTGTGTGACTCTGATGTAGTGGCTCATGTGGAACGCAACGAGCTGCGGAACAAGCTTGAATAGCATTTTGCCTCGGGGCTATCTGCCAGAAACATTTCATCTGCATGAATTTATCCACAGGGATGGCAAGTCTGACAAACTTGTGGATTAACTGGGGACCTTGTAAGCCTGCATATTAAATTCTAGCCTACCAGCTCAGCCCTATCCTCAGTTTCAGCATTCAGCATGATAACAGTTCTGATCCAGTTCTGATTGTCACCACTGAGACACCAATGGAGTCCTCTGAAATTTTGCCTTTTAATTAAATTATTTGTAAGAGTTTCAAGCTATATTTAGACCAAACATTTCACTCTCAAAGATCTGCGACCTACCCCACTAGTCCAGTAGGATGCCTGGCGCGCAAACAGTCCAGCAGTGAGCTGCCAGCCGGCACGCAGGGCAGCAGCAGGCAGCGGCAGCAACGGCAACTGATGAACACGTCTTGGACTGCAGCCACGACATAATCTAGGCTAGCGTCTATTCAATTTGTCCATGTACAAGTCCCACAGCTCCTGCCCGAGGTTGCGCAAGTCAGGGAACTGACCACCTCCAGCCCAGGCGTGGTTCACTGACTCAAGATATTTCAACTGACCAGTCAGAGTTCATGTTTTGCAACTTTTATCCAAGTTATTTGTAATTGTAATATTCTAAACTGAATTTTAGGCATGACTTCATTTTTCAAGAGCTACAAAGAACACACCTTCCCTGTGCAGCACGTCTATTGTCCTAACATTAGTCACATAGTTGCAAGAAGCGACTTGAATGCGGAACCTGCCTGTTTTGAAGCCCTGTTGTCTGTTGGGTGACACTCCACAGAGGTAAGGATGGGGTGTGATTTTGCTGCTGTTTGTCAGGTTCAATATGTGTGTCAATGATCACAAAGTACTCTAAAGGTTTAAAAAATGCACAGCATGGCCTAACAAAGCACATTACCTAGGTTTTGACAAGCAGCGCAGCGACTGTGGTACAAAGGCCCAGTCCTGGTCCCATGCTCATGTTAGTAGCTGGATCTGCTCCCAGGAAACAAAGGTAAAACACTATTGACAGCTTTAAGATGAAATCTGCAGGAAAACTAAGCCATCTATAAAATCTAACATAAGCTTAAAAGCGCAACAGAGCATTTCTGATTCAACGTGCAGCACTTCCGCTTTCATCCGCCATCTCAGTTCAAAGAATGATGCATTACATCACTAAAATTTATTTCAAAATACCTCTGCATGGTGTTAACACAAACAACAGTTCTTTACTAGACATGGTCGACCTCAGGCCACCCACAATTCAGCAAACAGGGTATTATCAATGTTTAACGGCTCAAGGTTAGTCGTCTTGGATGTTCAGAAATAAAAAGGTGAACATTCATTGTCTCTTCCTTATTTGTCACCATCAATAGATTGTGGACTCCTCAGAGCATGTCTTGATTATGGAGTTGAAACAGCAGTGAGTAAATCATTTATGATTTTGATACTATGATTAATTTCAGTGAGTTGCACACTTGAGCTCAGTTGGGCAAACTAGACTTTTGGAATCAAAATATGGAGGCATCAATAATTTGATTCTGGTGGGAGGAGCCATGACCAAATATGGGCATGGAATCAATTTTTTGATTCATTTGGGTACGGTTTTTACTTCAAATGAACCGTTACGGTTGAAAAAAGGCCCATGACGGTGAGATTTTTCTTTTAAAAGGTAGAAAAATGTGGTAGGTTTGCAAAAAGTGTTACCTCAAAGCTAAGAAATTGTCCCTTTGGCCTTGTGAATGAGAAAAAGACAGAGCCACTGTCCATCACGTAAAAGCTGTTTTGGGGAAATCACACTGTATGTTATTTTTGTATCATGAATCACATACTAACCAATCAGTATTTGTGTAAAATGGCAAAATGAATTTTTTCAACCCCTAATTATCATTGTTGTAGTGCTTTTATATTATTTACATGGTTTTTACCTGTTGCTTCGGTTTTTGTATTCTTGACATTTTAAAATTGTGAATTGTTATCAAATGTAGTAAAGGTCAAGTACAACAATGCTATAGGTATCAGTTGTGGTGCTGAGGATACCACTAAATGAGAATAATGGCAAGATAAGTGCCGTATTCTTGCAAGTCATTGTTGCCTATCTGTTAACATTACCTGTGAATCAAAATAATGATTAGCCAGCTGACAGTGAATCAATATTATGATTATCTGTTTAAAGTGAATCAATTCCTTGATTGCCTTTCACTACCTATAGAATTCAAATTGTTATGATAGGAGCAATATTATTTTGCTTAGGAGATAGTTCAAGCATTTCTGTTCAAGATCAGGCATGCTCCTTCTTGAAACACTCTCTTATTTTTATGTGATTGGTAAGTTAGAAATGGTCTGCATTTATGCCCAAAAGGAATCAATCTTTTGATGCCTCCATATTTTGATTCCAAAGGTCTAGTTTGCCCAACTGAGCTTGACACCTGCCATTGATAAGTTCATGGCTCTTGCATTCTTCAGTCACATGTAGGACGGCCTCTTAAATATGTAAATACAAAAATAAAAATACTGCTAGAATTAGAAGACTATTAGAATTAGTTTGGCATATCAATTTAATTCTCCACCTCGTGGCGCCGGGCGCCAGTGATGCCATCCACATTTTTGCTCCATCCCAAGATCTCGACCAGAATTTCCCAAGATTCTCGTCTCGAATCCCAAGACTACCCATCGCATATCCTTAGGAGTACCCCAAGTAAATCCATAGCTTATTTTGAACATATTAGTGTGTTTAGTATTCAACTTTCTCTTCTTCAGATCCACCCTTGTCCTTATTAGCGTATTTACAGCAGCTAATGTACCTAGAGGCCGGGGGGAGGGGAGGGGAGGGGGTCGATCGGACTCCTACAGCTGATCGCTTCCTGACCGAGTATAAGAGATTCACGGAAAATGAAGATGCTGGCCTAGACAACATGAAGCCGGTGGTATCTGATATTATGGTCAGGGCCCTGTTTCACCGGTGATAGCAGCACGTTGCTATCACGTTTCGCGAGCTGACGTCATGTCGTGACGCCATACTGTTGACGTGATGGGAAGTTCCGGCGCACGATTGCCGCGACCTTGGCCGCGGCATTAAGTGACGTATGGGCCTCTAAAAGTAAGAGGTTACGCAGTCATGGTAGTATATTTATTTTTAATGTATATTTTCTAATAATAATGTATTTAAAAAAGTTTGGTTTAAGGAAAATTTGGACGTAAACTTCGAACATTTAGTTGATGACGTAAAACAATTTTGCGGCAATCGTGCGCCAGAATTGCCCCTTACGTCAGCAGTATGACGTCATCACATTACGTCAGCTCGCGCAATTTGATAGTAGCTTGCTGCTATCACCGGTGAAACAGGGCCCAGGTCATTCGTCGACCGTCAATGGTGGGTCAAGGACCCAAAACACAAAGTCCGAATCTGTTAGAACTTCTTGGAAACGAAGTCTGTGGCATTTTGGATTTATTTCGAAATTTTTTCTCGTGACACATTTGGAGAAGCTAGGGTTAGGTGAGGTCAGGCTGATTTTAAGTGTTTTCCACCACTGAGTTTTGAAATATGGGCTCCAAAACAAGCTCTTAAAAGCTTATGTGAATCCCGAAATCGAAAAGCCTATGCTGTGAATCTGCGCATAAGCCAGTGGCCGCTGGGGCCCATGAATTTTCAAGCCGACGATGGCGAGGGGTCTAAACGAGGACCTAACTCGTCCCCTGGACTATATAGTTACAAGACGTCAGCAATGTTGTGAAGGTCGCAAGGTTACGCTTTGATTATTTTTGGTCCAGCAGAGCCCAGAGGTCAGGTGACCAGACACTTTTCCGAGGTCAAAGACAAATTGCCCTTATTTTGGTTCGCGGTCAACGGATAAGCCTCCATAGAGCAAAACCGTAAAATGAAACGCTTTGTGCGGGAGTCGCTTTCTGAAATATTTTTTAGGCATAATGTTTGTAAAAGCTTTTCATAGCCACCCAACATCATGCCGCTAAACCACCCATCCCCGTTGATCGGTAGTTGGAAATTAAACAAATGAGCGCCAGTTGCGAACAGCGACTGAAAGCTGCTACTATGCCTATAACAAGTAATGGTACAAAAATAATCCTGCGATCTCGGTAAGATAATGCCTGCTAGAAACATCGCAAGCTTCGTCCGTTACTTCAATGTTTGATTAAAGGGAGATAATGACCTTTTTCCACAAAATCTGAGTTAGGACCATTTTCTGACAAAACACAACAAGTTATAATGTAAATTAAAACCATTTTGCTCAATTCGGTACCTTGCCGCAAATATCTCAACTTGAAGTCACGTTAGCGGGGAGCGCTGAAAATGACCGTTGAATAAGTACTTACATCACTTTTTGGTACTTGCATGTAATTTTGTAAAATGAGCGTATTCCTTACATTTGATCTTCATCACATCTAGTTAGTTAATGGTCGTCTATAGTGCTTTCAAACAGGGGCGGATCCAGGAAAACTCCAAGGGGAGGGTCATGAATCGAAGTGGTGCCCCTACCTATACCCAAAATTAAAAACTCAGCGGATTTCGTCCACTTCATTTTGGTGGTGCCCCCATTTTCAGTTTTTTTATTTTTATTTTTATTTTTAGTCAGTATCTTACCTCTTAGCCACAACCACATTTACCAATTGCAAGCAAGTATATATGAATGTGCTATGTGTGTATATGTTGTGGACGCTGAGTAGTGAGTACTTACCAGGAGCGTTATCAGGTAAGCGAATCGTTGTCAGTCCGACGAACTTGACCCTGGCGTCTAAAGGGTCTGTCCTTGACACTTCAGGCTTGTCAGGGGCACCAAAGTCCTTCCAGGGACACCACAAACCTGTCAGGGGCACCTACGGCCTTGTAGGGGCGCCACAGGCCCGCCAGGAAGCAGGGGCACCACAGGTCTAGCAAGTATACACGACAGGCCTGTCAGGGGCACAACCGGCCTGTTAGGCCCATGAGCACCCCTAGGGGCAGGGGCACCACAGTCCTTCCAGGGGCACCGCAGGCCTGTGAGGGGCACCAGCGGCCTAGCAGGGGCACCAGTCAACAAAGGCCTGCCAGGGGCACCACAGACTTGCCAGGGCACCAGAAGCCTGCCAGGAGCACCACCGACCTCGCAGGGGTAACGTGGGCCTGTCAGGGGCACCACGGGCCTGTCGAGAGGCACTTCAGGCTTTTCAGGGGCACCATAGTCCTCTCCGGGCGCAGGGGTAGCAGGGGCACCAGAGGCCTGCCAGGGGCACCACAGGCCTAGCAAGGGCACCACGAGCCTGTCATGGGCACCTCAGGCCTGTCATGGCCCAGGGACACCACAGTCCTTCCAGGGGCACCACAAGCCTGTCAGGGGCACCAGAGGCTTAGCAAGGGCACCACAGGCCTGCCAGGGGCACTACAAGCCTAGCAAGGGCGCCACTGGTCTATCAGGGGCACCACGAGCCTGTCATAGCCAGGCATCTCAGGCTTGTCAAGGCCCAGGGGCACCACAGGTCTGTGAGGGGCACCAGCGACCTAGCAGGGGCACCAGTCAACACAGGTCTGCCAGGGGCGCCACAGACCTGCCAGGGGCACCACAGACCTGCCAGGGGCACCAGAGGTCTGCCAGGGGCACCACCGGCCTCGCAGGGGCACCTTGGGCCTGTCAGGGGCACCACAGGCCTGCCAGGGGCACCACAGGCCTAGCAAGGCACCATTGACCTGTCAGGAGCACCACGAGCCTGTCATGACCGGGCACCTCAGGCTTGTCAGGGCCCAGGGGCACCACAGTCCTTCCAGGAGCATTACAAGCCTGTCAGGGGCACCAGAGGCCTAGCAAGGGCACCACAGGCCTACCATGGACACCACAGGCCTGCCAGGGGCACCACCGGCCTTGCAGGGGCGCCTCAGGCCTGTCAGGGGCACCACGTGCCTGCCGGGGACACTTCAGGCTTGTCAGGGGCGTTACAGTCCTGTCAGGGCCAGGGGCACCAGGCCCGTGGTGTCCCTGCTAGGCCTGTGGTGCCCCTGGCGGTCCTGTGGTGCCCCTGTCAGGACTGTGATACCCCTGATAGGCCGGTGGTGCCCCTGGCAGGTCTTTGGGCCCCCGGGCCTCAAGGGGGGGGCCATGACCCATGTGACCCCCCCCTTGGATCCGCCCCTGCTTTCAAAAGATATTCATGGTTTGGGGGTGGTTTATGTCTAAATTTACGCAACTATTTTTCCTGTTCATCATCTGACGCCATATGCTGCTATTTTAGTAGCAACGACTCAATTCTGAATCGGTCCCGCCGACTGCACAATAAAAGAAGATAGATACAACACTTTTGCGGCATCACTGAAAAACTTATGCAGTACTGTTATCAAAATTCTCATAACACCGTTCGACAAACCTGAAGTCTTTTTGAAATAAATATGCTTGTATTTTTCGCTTCAGGCTCTGACGCCAAAATAATGAATTTCGTAGTCGCAATCGCAAGATTTGGCTGCGTTTCTGGCGCATGCCGTTCATTGGAAACTTGGAAACAAAGAAGAGTAGGCACTATGTACCCCCGAATTAGAATCTAATTAATTCTAAACCGAATTAACTCTAATTCAAATTAGAATCCTTACAACCAAGCAACGACAAGGCGATAACATAAACAAAAACCCAAGCGTCGCTGTTTGAAACAAAAGCGCCATATACTGCGACTTTTTTATAGAGAAGGACAACGCATTTCGGTGGGTGTTACAAGTACTGCAAGTACTGCTTCTTTTTTGCAAAAATAAAAACCTTTTTCACATACGAAAATGTGCTAGGAAATTTTCATATTTTATAGAAACTACAGTAGAAATAGTATAGATGTCGAGTAATTTTTATTTAAGAAAAAAGAAAGCTCATTATCTCCCTTTAACCGTCCGTGAGGCAAATCCATCCTAAATCTATTATCGACCAAGGAAAGGCATTCGACAGCATGAGAAGACAAAGTGAAATTAGCTTCTGCCAGATCCCAAGATATGCAGTGCAAATCACAAGATCCCAATGTTAATGTTCAAATCCCAAGATCTTGGGACAAATCCCAAGGAATGGCATCGCTGCCGGGCGCTGTTCCAAGAGGCGTTGTTATTTTTCAAGGTTTCAATAAAAAACAAGTCGACAGATACAGAAACTTCGGAAAAGGCGGAAACGTCACAGGTTTTAAGTGCCAATACCAATACATTGTGGCACTTATTTGCACAGATGTCAAAATCAAACACGAATTTATTTACGATGAAGTAATTGCTGGAGAAACGGTTTTCACGACTCTGATTTTCAAAGAACGCCCATCAAGATGGCTATCTCAACTCAATTCTAATGTTAAGGTGGGACAGTCCCTTTAACACTGGCCCAAACAAGCCTCCGAATGCCCAAAGCAGATCTCTGATGACTGGCCTTTGGGTGCCATACCATACCGTGCATTGGTCAATGTGGTCAATATGTACGACCTCGGCGTTTACCATTTTATGCGCTGGAAACTGTTGCGCTTGAAAAAAATCACGGGAGTGGCTTATTATGAGCGCTCATCAGTCCTAACTATCCGCAAGCGAATGGCTAGCCCTTCCGTCTCCGCTCGCTTGCGATTTGG